GCGGGAATTCGGCACCTTAAAAAGTGACCATGAGATCATGATGGAGATCTCAATGCGTCGTCAGAAGGCTAATGAATCGTATGATATGTTTCATACAGATATATTAGCCTTGACCGCTGGACTAAGGGAGCCGATGTCTGAGAACCTGTTGATGGACATATTGAAGAGGAACGTTAACAGCAGCCTGAAGTGGATGCTTTTCAATGCTGGTGCGCAGACCCTACATGACCTACGTGACGTTGCTAGGAATGGCGAACAGTTCCTGAAGAAAACCAGGAGTTTGGTACCGAACTATTCAGGACGGCATGTCAACGAAACCATGGCTATTACACCGGATGAATGGACAGGAGGAATGAATGGAGAAGTGGATCCACAGGTGGAAGCGCTGAATTTCCAGAGGACTAGGAAACCGGACTACTCAGGAATACAGTGTTGAAACTGTGAAAAGATGAGACACTGTTACATCTATTGCGAGGAAGCGATTCGAAACGTGTTCTGCTTCAAGTGTGGACAGAAGGAGGTGGTTACTCCAAGATGTCCCAGAGATTATCGGAGACAGGGAAACCGGAACCCGAGAGAGAAGGCAATCGGGGATCGGCACCCTAGCCCCCGAAGCAGGGAGAACAGGAGCAACCGCCTCTTGTGCTAAACCAAAAAGTAGCGCAATCCCAGCCAGAACCGTTCATTTGCATGGAGATGTCAGTAGTTCGGAGAGTAGTACCAGTCCCTCGGGAGCTTCGCCTAGGGTCATCATAACTTTTCCAGATAGTTCGATAGTTCTGATTCCGAGTGTATGTTTTCTTCTACAGCCAATCCTCTGCAGGTTCGAATTCTTAGGCATGTCGCATGCCAGACTCAATTCCCAGTTAGTTTAGAGCAAAGAGAGCAGGATTATGTACGGATAAGGGCGGATATTTTCGAAGAAGAACCAAAACTCGTAGTTTCAGAAAATATTCTAGAGTGTAGAAAAAGATATTCTAGCCGAGTAAATATGCGTAAACTTTTGCAAAGCACTAAAATTATGATAACACCAGATGAGAGACCGCTAGCAAAGATTAAAATAACGATAGTTTCTTAGTGGGTTTGTTGGATTCCGGAGCAAACGTTTCCATTCTTG